TATGTCAATGACAGAGAGAATGACTGGGTAGAAAAGTTGGCGCTGGCGGAATTTGCCTACAACAATGCCGAGAATGTGTCCACAGGGATGAGCCCCTTCTTGGCTAATTATGGGTGTCATCCCAGGGCTTTCCCAGGGGGAGAAGGGGAGAGATGGAGCGGACCGGCAGCCGAGCATTTTGTAGAAGAAATGGAAGCAATCCACCGTCAGCTCCAACTCAACTTAGAAAGGGCGAAGGAAGAATACAAGAGGCAGGCAGACAAGAACCGAAGGGAAGGTGAAACCATAAGGGTTGGAGATAGGGTGTGGCTGTCAACCCGAGGGGTGCCGCTCAAAGGAGGTTGTAAGAAATTACGACCCAGGAGGTTGGGTCCCTTTGAGGTCATTCAACAGGTCAACCCAGTGGCTTTCAGGCTCCGGTTACCCAACCACATGAAACTGCACCCAGTATTTCACAGGTCGTTACTGTCACCGTACGAGGGGGGACGAGAAGGGATGGCCACTGGGACCGGTCATAGAAGAAAGAGAATGCAGCAGTCATGTGGCAGAAATCCTTGATGCCAGGTGGAAGGGGAATCAGGTGGAGTATTTGGTAGCGTGGGAAGGAGAACCGGAGTCAGAAAACACGTGGGTAATGGCCAAAGATATCAATGACGAGGTATTGATAGAAATGTTCCATCAAAGGTTCCCGCGGAAACCTCAGCCTGTGGAGAGGTTCCGGAGGGAATACTTTGGGACCACTGAGGAGGAGGAGGAGTTGGAAGGATTCCCAGAATCGGAAGGGGAAGGGGAGATGGACTCGGAGGAGGAGGAGTGCTTCGAGACCAGGAACCGCAACAGGTGGAGAGAAGTGTTCGAGACATCGGAAGATGAAGGAAGTTCATTCCGGGTTTTGCCTCCTCACCGCCCGTAGAGGAGGGGGCGAGAGGGGGTGAAGGGGGCCCTGGAGGGGGAGGTGGATGTCAGGGAACTGCCATCGGAAGGAAGGGAGGTGAAAGGACTCAGACAGGTTGGAAGAGATTCAGCAGCTGAAGAGGGAACCAGCAAGGGGAGAGAAGCTGAACTGAGGGAGGTGAAAGGGCTCAGACAGGTTGGAAGAGACTCAGCAGCGGAAGAGGAAACCAGCATGGGAGAGAAGCTGAACTGAGGGAAAGGGAGCTGGGGGGATGGCTCAGAGATACTTCCAGCGAAAACAGTGGTGAGGTTTCCGGACCTCCTGTAGCGACACCCACTCCTCGCCGGAAACTGTCACGCAGAGAGTCCAGAAGACGTGTTTCCGTTAAGGAGCTTTTATGTTGGAAGCGATTACGAAAGCAACCACTGTCGGAATCTTCTAGTGACTAGAGGAGCCATGTCAGAGGGGCTCAGTCACAGACAGAGGTTTGTGGACTTGAACAAACTCTGAGGGAATACGATTTTACGCACAAGCAGCTCATAATCCCATCACATAACCATAATATGCTTTTGATCCTGAATTAAAATTGGAGGTTTGTGACACGCTTGTACCCCAAGAAGAGGCCTGTCCTTTGAGGCCAAAGGTAGCTGACCTGGGTATTGGGCCATAGCTGAGTTATAGAGCATCTGTCTTGCATCCAGAAGACCCCCAGGTCCAATCCCCAATGGCATCCAGGGCTGGGAGAGACTGCTGCCTGAAATTCTGGAGAGCCACTGCCATTCAGTGTAGACAGTATTGAGCTTGGTAGACCAATGACTCAGTAGAAGGCAGATTCCTATGTTGTCAGTCTGTTGTGTCCATCTTATCAGTTGTTTTTCTGGGAGTGCTTCCTGGTGAGAAAGGAGGAAGGCCAAAGCATCATGCAGAGAGGCAGTGGGATGCCTCCTCTATGAATCGAAGCATTGGAGCCATGAGCACCTTTCGTTATGTAATTGATTCATTTCATATGATGTAATGACCATCCCAGTGGCTGCTTATAAGGCAATGTGTTTGCACCATCTTCCAGGCAGGGGTGCTTCTGTTTGGAATAATACTGGCCTATGTTGCTGTGGGGCTTGTTTGCTTTTAAATCCTGCTTTATCCTGGAGAGATGCCCACAGAGAAATCCACAAGGAAGCTCTCCTCTGCAATCCCCATTGAAAAGAATGGATCTGTTAGAGCAGAGCTCACAAATGTCAGACATGTAGATTAGGAGGGGATACACTGAATTTATTGCAAACACAGGGTGTGTCTTGAGCTAAGTCAACTTGGAAGGACAATGACTCAAAGCCAGCAAGCATCACCTTAAAACTTCTTAATAAAGAAATGTGCATGCAGAGAGAGAGCTTTTGAAGTATGCAGAGTTATAGGGTAAAGATTTTCTTATCCTGTTCAGATTGCAAAACTGCTGTACAGCAGGGACTCCATGCCTCCTTTGTTCTGGACAATAGCTAAGCCCACTCATAGTACTCAGACAATGAAGACCTATAGCCTTTGATAATGCTGGTAGTGGCTTTTAAAAGCCAGTATCTCTGCATTATTATTTCAAAGTTTCCCCTCTAACCCAGGGACAATGAGTTGGGCTCAGGAACACTTAAAAGAGACTTGCCTGTGGTTTCTGGAGTAAGCCACCTGTTGGGAACCATCCAAGTTACTCGTGGGGTTTAAATAAATAAAGGGTGGCACAACCTCTGGAAATTTCCCAGATTCTTTGCTGGCTAAGGCTGATAGGATTTGTAGTCCCAAACAGCTGGAGGGCACCAGATGCAGGAAGGCTGGTGCAGCCTCAAGAAAGTTCTGTTATCTGACTCCCCAGAAGCAGGATGGCAAAAACCTTTGAGGTTCCTTCTTGTACCTCCCAATGTATACCCTGTTTCCAGACCAAGGGCCACATTCCCACCTGGGCAGCTTTCCAGGGGCCACATGTGGGAGGGACCAGATGCAAAGGCGGCAGGGGTCTCTCCCAGCCTTAGTTGGAGATGTTGTCAGGGATTGAACCAGGGACCAGACACTCTGCCACTGAGCTACAGCCCTTCCCCTAAGTCAGGGTAATAATTCCTGAAACATATCAAATAAGAAATTGTAATAAAGTTTGGGACTGAGGCACAGAGTCCCATTTTAAATGGAAAGGGTCATTAGAGCTGTTTTGAAAGAGGCTTCTCCCAAACTATTCCAATAAGAGCTTCAGTGGCTCTTGGAACCCAATGTCTCCTATCCACCCGAGACCCTCCTATTCCAGAGGAGAGGAGTCACAAATATTTAACTGGTATACAGTCCCAAAACGCTGAGTAACCCTCTGAACTTCGGCATGGTCATGCAGATAGGATGGCTGAATTTTGTTTTCCTACACTGTCCCCTGCTGCTTGCTTAGTATAAAATTCGCCTGCAGAGGACCGGACAACGCAGAAACCAAACCTGGGGGTAGGAGGATCCCTTATTATTTACAGTGCCTGAAACTCATTAGGAGGTCCAGAGAGCTTTCCAGGTACAATTTGCAGTGCTGTATTCTTTTTTTACCCACTCACTGAGCCCTACATGTTTCAGTTTTGCCTTTGTTCAGTGGGATGCGGGGCTCAACGCAGGGTAGAGACTCAGAATAGAACCATGGACATCTTGGTTTGAATCCTCACTTGGTTTCGTTTGTTTGTTCATTTATTTATTGAAAACATTTATAAATCACTTGTTGGGTTATATCCAACTAGCTTGTAGTAAACCCACTGCAATGAATAGATCTAAGTTAGTCATGCCCATTATTATCGGTGGGTCTGCTCTGTGTAGGACTAATGGTGACTGCAAACATATTTTTTTTTTATCTCACAAATGGCGTACAGGATAAAAACAGTACTCAATATCATTGAAAATAAAATACATCAAACCAGTAAAACAGTAGTATGAAGTTCTTCCCTGTTCTTCCCTTGAAATATGGCAAATCAACTATTGCTTCTGGCTCCTCAATCCTCGATGTGAAGAGGCTAGCCCTGTTTATTTGATAGTGAAGGAGGTGTATTCTGTATTTATGTCCTGAGGTTTGGGGCTTCTGCAAAGTCACCCACCCAGGAGCACCAGATTGGCAAAGGCTGTTCTGCACATGCACATGGCTTATTTAATTACCTTATTGCAGCAATTTACAAGCCTTCTATAAGAAGTGATCCAGACAGTTCTGATCATTTGTTGTTGTTGTTAGTTCAAGAATTCCAAGAACACCCCCTGCCAAAAATAAATCAGTGCCATTTGGAAAAGCCCACCATCTTGATTCCAAATGGTGTCCAGTGGTACCCCAATGTAGACCAAAACCTGCTCCTCTATCTTGTGTACTGTCATGCCAGATTGAGTAATGGTTTGGTCCGCCATCTTGATTCACAGTAGTGTCCAGTGGTATTTTAACATAGCCGAAGACCCACTCCTCCATCTCAGGTACTGTTATGCCAAACTGGGCAACAATATCCCAAGAGGTGTCCAAATGCATAGAGAACAGATGGACAGACAGATATACCACTTAATCTCCTCCTCCTCCTCCTCCTCCTCCTTATGTTCATCCTCTTCCTCTCCCATGTGTTCTTTTTCAAGACTTACGAACAAAACGAATGGATAATCCACTTAGCCGGAAAGCTTTTGGCCAATGAGAAGGAAGTTTTATCTCTGATAGCCTTCAATCCGTTCGAGGGCAAAGCCCCACCAAGGTAAGCCTAACCCACGGGAAATTCAGTGATGATATAGGGTTATTGTTGGCCACTCCCACCCTGCAAGTAGCATGGCCCTTATTGTTGTGAATAATAAGGGATCCTGCTTACTGACTTCCCTTTGGGGCATCTGGTTGGCCTCCTGTGAACAGGAGGTTGGACTAGATGGGCCTTTGGATCCTCATACATCATTAAAAGAGGCAGTGTGTTGTCATGCTCAGAGTCTGAAAATATAGACACATAGACATAGAGACAATAGGATTCTATTGGAAGGGACCCTATTGGACCCTATTGGAATAGGATTCTATTGGAAGGGACCCTATTCTATTGGAAGTTGGAAGGGACCCTGAGAATCATCTAGTCCAACCCCCTGCAATGTAGGAATATGCAGCTGTCCCATATGAAGATTGAACCTGTGACCTTGGTGTTATCAGCACCATGCTCTTTCCGACTGAGCTATCCAGCGGTGCTCAGTCAAAATACACATCCCCACCCCTGACCAGTTTGAGGGAGGGGCCATTGGCCTGGTTACCTCATGAACAGAGATACGTTCCAATGGAAACTGACCCCATGGGTACGATTTTTTCACCCTTTCTCAAAGGGATAGAAAAACAATGGAAATGGATAACATAGTTTGTAGTTGGGGGCAAACTGATGAGGGGAAAACACCTTCCCATTGTCCGTTTGGGTCAGCACTTCTCCCACTAGCTAAAGGAATTTCCAAGTGAGTTAATGCCTTCAAAATGAAAAGCTTTAGAGCAAAGGAGGCAGGGGGTTGTTTGGCCTTTTTTATGTTACACTTGCGAGGGGGGAGGGGTAGTTGTTGTTGCAGCCAGTGTGATAAATATGGAATGAAAAGCAGGTGACTTGGTTATTACTATTTTTTTATTATTTTTAATGACGCCATTGTGGAGCTGGGAGCAACCTAATTGAGTGTGAAACTTGACTTCAAGCAAAGTGAAGTTTGCAAAATGTCCGCACACGAAATATCAGGGCCCAGCCAATGGTTTGTAAAATATTTAGCCACCATAAATCTGAAATGCTGGAGGTTTCAGCTAAGAAAATTAAGAAGTGATTTAGCTTGCTGTTGCAGGAGGCGGTTGCAGCCACATGAATGTGGTTTTGCTTAAGTGAGAAAGGACAATTAGATTTCAATTAGGAAAGAGATTGATACTGGTTTTTTCCAGTGTCACAGAACATTAGCTTGAAAGTCAACAGCCTGCTCTCCTTGTGCCCCAAACCTAAATTTGCTTGCTTGGAAACAAATCCCAGCGGAATCGTAAGGAGGGCAGCAGTTAGCACCAACTTTTCCTCGAGGTCTCCCCCACCCATGAGAATCGAGGGGGGCCACAGCTCAGTGGTCAGCCACATGAGCAGAATATGGTAAGCCCATTGCCTGGTGCGTCATGAGTTTGAACATATTGCAGTCGACCTACTCCACTGACAAGTTCTAAAGCCTTTCGTTTCCAGGCATGCATTGCTCTCCTGCAGTTCGATGTCTCTTGACAGTGACTATTCCGTGTCGGACAGAGTGACATTTCAGCATCATTGTACCATGAGCGTTGATACTTCCCATGGACCCCCTCAATTTGTCATTTCTGTAAGAGAGCCTAGCATTGAAAGTAGGGTAACATTTTCGCAGTCTTGCCAGTTGTGTGTGTGTGTGTGTGTGTGTGTGTGTGTGTATGAGAAAGAGAGATTGTGTGCTTGGGTTTCCCCTCCAAAACCATCTCATCTGTTCCAGAGGGACAGCTGCAGCCTCTGCAACTAATTACAGCTGTCTGGAAGATTTAGACCCTGGCCATAACAGCTCAAATATTGCTGCTAATTTTTAACACTTTCACAGTTGGGAGATGTCATCGCAGGCAGATAGCTGGTTGCATCTCAGCCGCACAGCTGCTCCTGGGCTTGAGAAGGAAATTGCGGAATGTTGATGTGGAAACAAATGGCGCTTAGGCCTTGGCAAGGCGAAGTGGGGAGCTGTGGCCTGCCCTTCTCCAGCCGGGCGTTTCTGAATGCAGGATTTGAGGCATGGCAGAAATAAGAACCAAGGAAGCTGCCTTCTAGCAACTAAGACCACTGGTCCATCTTGCTCAGTATTGTCTACCCTGACTGGCAGTGGTTCTCCTGGATTTCAGACAGGGAGTATATCCCAGTCCTAGGTAAAGGTAAAGGGACCCCTGACCATTAGGTCCAGTCGTGACCAACTCTGGGGTTGTGGCGCTCATCTCGCTTTATTGGCCGAGGGAGCCGGCATATAGCTTCCGGGTCATGTGGCCAGCATGACTACGCCGCTTCTGGCGAACCAGAGCAGCGCACGGAAACGCCGTTTACCTTCCCACTGGAGCGGTACCTATTTATCTACTTGCACTTTGTCGTGCTTCCAAACTGCTAGGTTGGCAGGAGCAGGGACCAAGCAACAGGAGCTCACCCCGTCGCGGGGATTTGAACTGCGGAACTTCTGATCAGCAAGCCCTAGGCTCTGTGGTTTAACCCACAGCGCCACCTGTGTCCCATATCTCCCAGTCCTACCTGGAGATTAAAAGTGAATGAACCTGGGGCCTTCTGCATGCAGTGCAGATGCTCTACCACTGATGCTCTATGGCTGTTTCATTAGAAATAAAGCAAGATTCCAGTCCTCATGACTTTGAATATAGAACTAAGAGTAGCTGCCTTCTGCTGAATCAAACCATTCACCCATCTAACTCTACAAAGTTTCAGGAAGGGAGTCTCTCCCAGGCCAGGACATTCTACACGCAGAGCAGATGCTCTTCCACTAAACACCACCATCACCCCAGTTTCCGCCGTGAAATCCAATCAGTGGGATTTAGGAGCAGCTGAAAACACACCTTGTGTCACCAAAAGCAAATTGCCAAACCAGCAATAAAGTGAGTTGAATGGGAGAAGATGTCACCAAAAGCTCATCGGTTTTCCAGAAAGCTAGGATGCTCCATAAGATGGCTGTGTTTTCTCACGTGGGAATTTGGGTGGGGGTGTTCCCCAGGCAGGGAGCAGCACAGTGCTTGAAACCATAGCATCCCATGAAACAGCCTGCCTGGCTTGCAAAGCTGGCTGGACCTGGGAAATGTCAAGAGGCAGTAATGCTTTAATTATTAGCAGGAAATATTGTGCTTCTGAAAAGTAAACACGGTGGGACTAACACTTCAGTCCCTGGGTTTGGAAGGAGTGTGTGTGTGTGCGTGTGTGCGCACACTCATGCGTGTTGACAGGGGGAAGAGAAGAGAAGTACTGTTCCTCTAAAAAAAAGCAGCTGCAAGAGAAGCAGGTTATTGGCTTGGAATACAGATTTGTCAGGGACAGCTAAGTAGAGACTTCAGTCAGTCACTTTAATGGTTGCTTGACACATAAGGAGTCTCCAAGCGACTTAAAAAAAATTTTAAAGGCATAAAGGCATGGCATAAAAGCTTCATTTCAGGATGTGCCTTGGCAAGAGGGAAGGGGGATGAAGAGGGGAAGTATCCTTGACTCTTAAATGTGCTGCTTTTTATTTTATTACATTGTCTTCTAATGAATTGGGTTGTAGTTTTGTAAGATACTCTACTCCAACTTTCCAGTTCCATTCTTTGTTACGCATTTCTTTGTTACTTTTGTTAGCCACTTGGAGAGTGGGATAGTTCAACTGGTAGAGCATGAGAATCTCAGGGTCATGGGTTCAAGCCCTACAATGTGCAAAAGAGTCCTGCATTGCAGGGGGTTGGACTAGATGATCCTTGTGATCCCTTCTAACTCTACAGATTTATGATTCTATAAAGATATGAAATATATATATGTCAGGGACACGGGTGGCCCTGTGGTCTGAATCACTGAGCCTCTTGGGCTTGCTGATCAGAAGGTCAGCAGTTCAAATCCGCATGGCGGGGTGAGCTTCTGCCAACCTAGCAGTTCAAAAGCACACTAGTGCAAGTAGATAAATAGGTACTGCTGTGGTGGGAAGGTAAACAGCATTTCCATGCGCTCTGGCACTCATAGTTATATATATAATTATATATGAATATGAATTAAATCAGAAACTAGAACAAAGCCCCAGAATAATCTGTGGAACAAACTCAATTAGAGAGCAGCAGAAGCTTTCAGCAGCAAAACCACCATCAATAGATTGAGTGGCAATCCCAAGGCAAAACTGGGGAGCAGGCAGTGAACATGAAAAGGTTGCCATGCCTGTCATAAAGAGCAGAGTGTCTATGAAGGGGTGGCATGTGCCCCAGGGCTGTGCAGGGGTGAAGGTTGAAAACACATTGTCTGACCCCGCCCCCCATGGGATCTTGCAGCCAGTGGAGGCTGCTGGTCACCAGTTGTTAAGTACGGATAGGTGTATTTGATCATTTCAGTTTCTCTCACTTTATCTTATTTCCAGTCTTAAGTTCACTTCCCCACATTTCCACATCAGTTTGCAAATGGTTTGTTTTTGAAAGTCCTTATGAAAATCCATCAGCAAATTTCTCCTAATATGCACACATGCACAGCCCACGTTTCCTCATATTGAACAGCTCCTTTGCCTGTCTACTCAGTTCCTCCCAACAGACTGCTCCCAACAGACTGCCTTTCCCTGTGATTTAGTGGAGGACCGCCTCCCCCCCACCCAAAGCACTGACCATTTTGTCAAGTCTCAGCTTCATAACCTCCTTCCTGCACTTCCCTCTGGCTCCTCCTTCCTCTTCCTCATCACCATCCAACTTTTCACAATTCCTGCCGGCCCAGGGATCCTGCATATCATTTTGCGCCCTTTGCTTTTCTCCTTCTGTTCTCCTTCCTGCCCAGACTGACCTTCCACTTCTGCTCCAGATCTGCACTGTTCGTCAACACTGCGTGCCAAATGCCGCTGGTGCTTTTGCCCTGAGAAGTTGGAATGTTTGTGAACATTCCATGACACCCCAGCAGCTAGCAGAGGATTTGAAAGGTGATGTGCAATAGCACCATTAAAAAAATAAAATGGTTTGCACGTATATATCTCCTTTGCAAAAAAACCAAAACACCTTACTAAACAAGGGTCCATTTGCTCAAGGCTTAGTAAGGTGTTGCAAATGTGTAAAGGTTTCTTGTTATTTAGCCACAGGGACTCCTCAGCTACAGCTGTATAACATCCCTGAGGATCTAGTGTTCGGCGGAGGGGATGGAGCAGAGGGAAAGGCAGCTGCTCCACCTTCCTGCCCAACTCAGTGGCTGCTTTTGTATTTGAGTAGCGAAGCGAGGACATTCCCAATGAGCACTGATGTGATGCTGACATGTTTATAAGGTGGGTTATTTTATTAACTTCTCCAGCAAAGCAACATGGTGTGGTGGCGTCTCCGAAGCTCCGGCCTGCTCGGCACAGACTTATCAGAGTGTGCTTTCGGATAGTAAGCAGGGAGAAGGCAGCCTCACCCCACAATGGTTTCTTTCCCCATTCTTCTCCAACTCCTGCATTGCTCATATCTCTTCCCCAAATGCTCTTTTCCATATGGGCCTGTTC